TGACGTTCGACATGTTCGATTCCGCGTTGGATGTCGTAGGAGGCGGGGAAGAGCTTGTACAAACCGCGCAGCTCCGCTTTCTTCGCTTGCATTTGGCCTTTCAGCTTCGCAACGTGGTGAGCTCGTTGCCGAAGAAGTCGACTAGATGACTCAATGCGGCAGCACAGCCTGCCACGTGTATATTAAATGTTTTACATCACTTCACACTGTTTTATGCTGTTTTGGGGTGTATGAAAAAAAGAACTCGGAAGAATCCCAGAAATGAGCAGCTTGAGGCTAGAGCCAGAACCTGGCAAAAGCATGACCTATGAAGTAGTTCGGAGACTTGGCATGTTCAGGATGCCATGGTCAAAGCGGACAAGAACCACCAGCAAAATATGCATACCATCTGGCAAAATCAGAACTTCTGGTAAGTTCACAAGGCAGAATTTGAGTCACAAAAGAGCGCCTAGACTCTAGACCTGTCATCAACAGCCGCAGGGCAATATGGTGCATATTATGGCATACACACGTATGAATGCTTGCATTGAGTCTGAGCATGATGTGTTTGATCAAATCGGTGCAGTTGTATTGCAGTTGTAGCGATGTTCATCAACATGTCAGGTTTCCAAGAGCAAGACATTTCTTAGCAGCATAGGCGCCTTTCAAAGGCCATTCTCTCTTGGTCCACTGCTGCAAAGAGACTGTCCGAATACGCTGTGTGCTCCTCCTTCAACTCACTCAGGATCTGTCCGCCAGAACTGATCTGAACGGCGCCTGGAAGAACTCCCATGACCTTGGCCACCTTGGCCTTAGCAGCCTGCAAACCCTCTCCCACCTTGACAGTGACAGACCTGCCATTGAGGCAAAGCACTTCCATGGCGAAAGCAAAGCGGTGGTGGAGCGGAGCTTGAGGTCTGTTGCTTCACAGGAGCTATGGAGATGGATATCAGGTATAATCATGTATGAATATGGATGCAATCAAAAGAGCCATCGTTGTTGTTGTTGTTGCTGTTGCTGTTGTCATTGTCGTTGTCGTTGTCGTTGTGGTGGTTGTTGTTGTTGTTGTGGTTGTTGTTGTTGTTGTTGTTGTTGTCGTTGTTGTTGTTAACTATGCATGTATGATCATGTATGGATGTATAGATGTAATTCTGTGCGTTCAGTGCCTCTTCACAGCGAGTCCCAAGGTCCAAAGCTACCAAAGACTCCACCAAAGCGAGGAACAAGTACATGCAAGTTCACCTATTAAGCTAGAATCTTCACCGGCCCCGAAAAGAAGAGGTTCTGCCAGCTGACATCCTTCGGTTCTGCCAGCTGGGTCCCTCAGGCCCGCCCCCGTTGAACACCTCGCAAAGAACCGGTCAACCGGCAGACCGACCCATGTCTACAAGTGACTGAAAACCAATTGGGTACAAAGTATTATAGCATAGAGATGCATAGAGGCTCTATTCCAAGAAACAACCCAAACAAAAAAGGGACGCGGCGAATGCCCTGATCATTGTTTTTTGGTGTCAAACCACGGCCGATATGTTTGGAAGGTGCCCCTGTAAGCCACTATAGTCACATATAGTCACTAAAAACCTTCCATAAGTGGAGACCCCGAACTAAGACCCTGAACTCCTTCCATAAGTGAGTTCATCCATTTACAGTGGTTTCAGAGGTTCGATGGCACAGACCGAAACCGAATGTCCTGATGAATGGGGGTTCATATAAACCACCGCCCACTTGGGGTCTGTGCCATCTACTTACTCTCAATCCACTATAACCAGGAATGGGGGTTGGTCTGGTAATGGGCCCCTTGCTTCACCAAGCGTCAGTACAAAGGGATCGGCCGCCGTGTCTGCCGCCCGTCCGACTGCCACACGGTCATCACTCAGGTCGACGGCCACGGAGCGGCGGAGCTGCCCTGAAAGCCGCGAACCACCACTGCTGAGCTTAAACACCGTGTAATCCAGGTTGCCTGGCCCAATTCAACCAACAAAAACGGAAGCCGGGCGGATTCCCAGAAAAACTGGCAGAGCCTGGAATGGGGGGTTCACTGGCGTGCCATGAGCTTTTCAGTGTGTAGTCCTCGAATGAAACCAGTTCTTCCATTCATTGGACTTTTGGAACGGGGAATGGGTTCTCTTGTATTCTCGGAGCAATGAACCACCCGCTGAGCTGTTGAGCACGATGTAATTTTTCGGTCGCCTCCTAGTCATTAGTAGGACTCAAGCTGTCCGACCGGCCAAACTAATCCTGTGAATGCATCGCGAGGTGATCAAGCAAATCCAAATGAGCATGTAGAGGGTTGAGGCTTCGTCTTGGTGGTGCTCCCGAGTTTGGACTTACTTTTGGACCTGATCTGTTCATGTCGTTTCTTCCACGTAAAGAAGGTTATTTTTGCAGCGGGCACCACTGAGACAGTTCTTTGGATGGGGTTGGCACCCTGGTTGAGCCATGTAGGTGGCCTTCTTGCTTTGTGCTTCCCATGTCTAGCAGTCTAGGACTCCAATCTGCAGGCCAAGTGGAAAGCCCCTAGTGGAGAGGTCTAGCTTAAGGCGGCTGGATAGGGCTTGGTGATGCAAAGGCAGCCAAATGTCTTCATGGTCTGTGGCAGTGATTTTGGATTGATTCAATTCCCACCTGACCTTGAGGTGACCGTTAACAAAGTCCTTTTTGATGAAAATGGCACCATCAGCGTGTTCGGAACAAACAACCCACGATCCACCCTGCTTTCTGGTGGACAATGGCTCTGAACATGTAGACCCAACTGTGGGAGGTGGACACGCCGCCGGTTCAGTATTGTAGGGATTATGTAGTCCAACACTTCAATTGATTCAATTGTATGTGGATTATGTGGGGCTTATGTATAGTCCAACACTTGGATTATGTATAGTCCAAGACTTCAATTGCTGTATGTGGATTATGTAGGGACTATGTATAGTCCAACACTTCAATTGTATGTGGATTATGTCGGGATTATGTCTAGTCCAACATATTGCAGGGATTCTGTGGATCGAACATGTCCAATTCGAGTGTTTGTTCCACAACCTTCACACATTGCAATGTTCCTGAAAGGACACGCGCGTATCGGTCGGGTCGATTCGGGTCGTTTGTTGTTGCGGAGACTCGAGGGATCCGTCCGCAGAGGATCGGTCCCGCAATTGTTCAAGTCTCCAAAAGCCACCAAAGGAGACCTGTTGGAGGGTCCTGGTATGCATTTATGACCACAAATGCCATTACAATGCATATTCATTGAACAATTGGTACGCAATGCATATTTATGACCACAAATGCCATTACTTATGTATGCCGTTAGTATTTAATGACTTCAGTATTTATGACAACACAATGCCATTACCCAGGTGAAGTGTTGTGGGGTGATGGGACCAACGGCACGTATCACTGCGGACGAAGAGGGGGCCCCCAAGAACTTAGAGTCCAATCCCATTGTAGAGGGTACCAAAAAGTATTCAAGGTTCCAATCCATTAGTACCATACAATGGTATGATATCTCTATAAGTTCTACAAAACGTTCTGGGATCGGAGAGGGTATGGCATTCCTCCGCGATTCGGTACTGCTCCAGCCGCACCTGCACGCCCGTGCTTACCCGGCCCAGTGCTTCACCCGGCCGTTGGTTCCAGAGAGTCTGCCGAGACTGACCCCTGTAGCCAGTACATGCCCCAGACCTCCTCAAAACGGATTGCACAGCAATTCCCCGGCAGAACCGGGGGTTTCTCGCGCGAAACCGGTCTAATCGTTGGGGTCATCAACCGCTGTTGGTGACCTGTCCTCAGCCACAGCATGCCACGGCCTCGACATGGATCTGCTTGGGACGTCGATGTTGGGCTAATTCACCAGCGAATCGCACCCCACTAGACGGCACCAGTGAGTGCATGACCAACTGCAGCTCCAACACGGTCGGTCGGAAATGCCGACCTTGAGGCACCAGTTCCGGCCTGGTAAATCCAATCGTTGTATAGTGCTGAGCCCAAACGCACTAGGTGGAAGATCCACCAGCGCATCGCGCCATCCACGGCCAATGAGTCGCAAACAGAGAGGTGTACCAAATGCGCCCAACAGCAGCCAAATCACATGTGCAACACGAACTGCAAGTTGCCCAACCCAAATTGCTGAGGTCCTATCCATGTCATGATGAGAAGTAGTGGGATTACTATAATGGACGCTGTGGCTTGGGCCAAGCACTTTGTTCGGCTAGGTTAGATTTGTGCCTCCGCATGTTCGCATGTGTACCGTCAGAAGTGGAAACCTGCATCCCCAAATGCCTTGCCGGTTGCCAATGTGTGCACGGTCACCTTTTGGTCTGTCCAAAGCTTCGTCAAACCTAGGAGCCTGGAGCCAGGGAAACAGCGGCGATGGCCTCGACTAGTTGCATCAAGGAGCCCCTAGTAGCTTCTTGCTCCTAGTAGTAAGGCCAGGAGCCCCTCGTAGCCCTTGCTCCTAGTAGCGATGCCAGGAGCCCCTAGTTGCAGAAATTTACCATTCATTACCATCCAATGGGTCGCCGATGGAGATCGGACACCCCGGCCAATGTGGTGGTCCTTAAACAGTTACTACGATTTGGCCATTCTGAGGCATACTCTTCTCATCATTGAGGGGGTGTTGATGCTGGACTCAACGGTTCTCATGGCTCATGAGCATCATGAGCATCCACTTCTCCCACTTCTCCCCGATGCCGGCCTCATGGCATCTCTCGCAGCAGGCCACACTGGTCTCTCCGCACCGGCCACACGACACGGTGCTGCGAACCAAAGAGCCGTACGACACGGAACAACACAGCCCCCACGACATGTCAAAGCAAATCGAGGTAGCATTGAATATTCCGAATATATATAGTTCAAGAATTCAAAGTTTATGTCGTCTCCACGAGGTTCCTTCTCAACCATTGTTGATAGCCACTCTGGAATTGATCAACACCAGTTCTCCCTGCTGCTATGACAAATTCAAGCAATTAATTGCGGGCTTGATCTAACTGCCGACCAACGAGTCTTGGTCCAGGCAGCACAGCTCCCCCGTCCTGAGAGTGCAAAATTCTCCGCAGCCGGGTGGCACCTTGCAAGTGGTCAACCCTGAACGCGAACTTCGCGGGGTTACGTCGTGATCGCACATGGAGGTCCGAAGGTCCTAGGTCCAGGAATCCACTTCCTCAACGTCCGAGCATGGAGGTCGCCAGATCTACGACGTCTGCCTGTGTCTCGAAGCTCTTGCATCTGCTTTGAGTTGAAGGCCTTCTTCAAACGAGGAGCCACCTGGCGCGGCGGATCCCGTCCCATCCCGGAAACAACCGGCTGGAGGGCTTCCCGTCGGGGCCGAATGGCCTTCCTGGATCCACCGATGCCCTGGTTTGAGGTCACTCTAGATCAAAGGCCTGTCTCAGGGTGAGTCACTGGAAGGGTCCTGGTTTGATTAGAGTGAAAGGACCCTTCCAGTGACTGGAAGGGTCACCGTTTGGTAAAAAAAAACATGTTTGTTCCATCTCCTGGTTGTGACAAATCAGGTCCAGCGGACCAGTAGCAACGATGACCTAATCTCCCAAACACGACTGGACTGGATGGGACTGGCATATATACTGTACCTACATTGGGGTGGTGCCAGGGGGGTCAATGGGGCGGCATGTTTATGGCATACATGGAGTGTTTGGGTCTGTTAAATACCTCCCTGTTTTACTCCAATGACATGTATACTTTTGAGCCTTCGAAGCCTGATTTGATGGCACAACGGGGCTGGTTGAGCGCGCCGTGATCGGGGGTGGCGCCTCTTCTCATCATCATATGATCACGATTTCTGATATATATATAATATATATACCAGGACCCTCCAACAGGTCTCCTTTGGTGGCTTTTGGAGACTTAAACGTCGCGGGTGGTGAGCTGTTGGAGGGTGCTGGTATATATATATATATACATTACATGTGTACATCACTACTGTTCAGAGTACCTCCCAGAATT